ACCTGCACGTTAACCTTAAGAGAACCCTGAACTATGACTCCCAAGTCTCTTTGTGCTTCAGATTTCCAAAGCCTTTCCCCATTTAGAAAATAGCCTACGCCCTATTCTTCCCACCAAAGAGTGTAAGCTCGCACTTTCCCATGTTGTATTCTATCTGCCACTTCTTTACCCACTCATTAAGCATGTCCAAGTCCTTCTGCAGCCTCCCCACTTCCTCAACACGACCTGACCTTCCACCTGTGTGTCATCTGCAAACCTAGCAACGATATCCTCAGTTCCTTTGTCCAGATTGTTTATATATAACGTGAATAATTGTGGTCCCAACACCGGCACCTGTGGGACCCCACTCGTCACCGGTTGCCACCCTGAAAAAGATCTCTTCATCCGTACTCTCTGCCTTCTGCCAGTCAGACAATCCTCTATCAATGCCAGTACCTGTCCCTAATACCATCGGCTCTTATCTTATGAAGCAGCCTCCTGTGCAGCAGCTTGTCAAAGGCCTTCTGGAATTCCCAATAGTTAATGTTCACTGGCTCTCCTTGAGTAACTTGCTCACTACCTCCTCAAAGAATTCTATCAGATTTATCAGGCATCATCTCCTCTTGACAAAGCCGTGCTGACTCACACCCATGTTATCATGCACTTCTAAGTACTCTGCAATCTCATCCTTAACAATGGACTTTAAAATCTCACCAATGGCCGAGGTCAGGCTGACCAGCCGATAATTCCGAATTCTGCCTCACTCTCTTCTTAAGCAGGGGAGTTACATTAGCCACTTTCCAGTCCTCTGGAATCGTCGCTGACTCTAGTGATTCCTGAAAGATCACCACCAATATCTCTACAATATTCTCAGGAATCTCCTTCAGAACGCTGGGGTGTAGTCCATCTAGTTTGGGTGATTTATCCATTTTCGGGCCTTTCAGTTTCCCCAGCACCTTCTCCTTGGCGATGGACATTACACTCACTTTTGCTTCCTGACTCTCGAATTTCTGGTATGCCATTGGTGTCTTCCACTGTGAAGACTGATACAAAGCACTTACTCAGTGTTCCTCTGCCATTTCTTTGTACACCATTACTACTTCTCCAGCCTCTTATTTGGGGGTCCAATGACCACTGTCCAATGTCCACTCTTGCCTCTCTCTTACCTTTGTATTTCTAAATAATTCTTGCTATCTTCTCTTATATTACAAGCTAGCTCACTCTCCCTTTATTGCTTTTTTAGTTATCCTCTACTTCTCAATCACCTTCACCACATTGTATGTTTTTTCTTTTGATTTTATGCTATCCCTGACTTATCTTGCCAGCCATAGTTGCTTTCTGCTCCCCTTTGGTAGGTTTCTTCTTCTTTGGGATGAATTTGTGCCGTGCCTCCAAATTACTTCCACAAACTCCTGCCATTGCTGCTCCACCATTTTCCCTGCTTGGTTTCCCTACAGTGTGGAAGCAGGCCATTTGGCCCCTCGAGTCCACACTGACGCTCTGAAGAACATCCCACCCATTCTCACACCCCCACCCTAACCCTCTAAACCTGCATTTCTCACGGGTGTACCACTGGAAGCCCACGCAGACACGGGGAGAATGTACAAACTCCACACTGTCACCCAAGATTGGAATCGAACCTGGATCCCTGGTGCCTTGAGGCAGCAGTGCTAACCACTGAGCCACCATGCATCCCCCCACCCCACCCAATCATCTCTGGCCAGCTCTTCCCTCATGTCTTTGTAGTTGCCTTTATTCAGTTGTAATACTGTCACATCTGATTCCAGCTTCTTCCTCTCAAACTGCATGGTGAATTCTCTTGTATTATGGTCACTGGTCCCGAGGGGTTCCTTCACCTTAAGTTCCCTAATCTAGTCTGCCTCATTACACATCACCAAACCAAGAACTGCCTTTTCCCTAGTGGGCTCTACCATAAGCTGCTCCATAAAAGCATCTCATAGATATTCCACAAATTCCTTTTCTTGAAATCTGCTACCAACCTGATTTTCCCAGTCCAACTGCATATTGAAGTCCCCCATGAATATTGTAATAGTGCCTTTCTTATATGTCTTTTCTTTCTCCTGATTTATTTTCTTCCCCACATTCTGACTACAGCTAAGATGCCTGTTTACAACTACCATCAGGGTCTGTTTTTTTCTTTGCCTCAACTCTACCCAACTCTACACATTCTGTTAAATATCACTTCTTGCTATCAATTTAACTTCTTGGTCTACAAACAAGGCAACCTCACCCTCTCTGCCCATCTGCCTGTACTTTCGATCGGACGTGTATTCTTGGATATATAGTTCCCAGCCCTGATTCCCTTGCAATCATGTTTCTGTGATGCCCGCAACATCATACCTGCCAATTTCAATCTGCCCCACAAGATCAATTACCTTGTTTCATATACTATGTGCATTTAAGTACACCACCCTCATCCTAGGTTGACTGCCCCGTTCTCATAGTTGTCCCCTTATCTCTTATCTGCTGTGCCCGAAATTAGATTTCTGACCCTTTCCATACTCTCTGTCCTATTACTTGTTCTGAAAACATTAATCTCTGCTACGCCCTCTCCCCCCACTTTATTTTACCAAGCAACTAAAACGCCAACCATCCCCATACAGTCCTGGTTATGCAATTTGTCAGGACTCTGGTCCCAGCATGATTCAGGTGGAGCTGGATTGGACTCAATTCAAAACCGCTCATTCAGAATTCAGAACTGCTCTCTATTTCCCTAGTACTTACGCCAAAATCCCATGAATTCGAAACCATTTCTCTCACACCAGTCTTTGAATCACGTGCTTACCTCTTTAATCTTGTTGACTCTGTGCCATGGCTCAGGAAGCAATTCACAAATTATTACCTTTTTAATTCTGCTTTTTATTTTGGCTCCAATTAGCTTGTGTTTCCTTAGCAGAACCCTATTCCTCTTTCTACCTATATCACTGGTACCTATGTGGACCATGACTGCTGGATCTTTCCTCTCCCACTCCAAGTTCCTCAGCAGCCTAAATGAGATATCCTGAACCTGAGCACCAAGCAGACAACACAGCCTTCGGGACTCTCAATCCTGGGTACAGAGGACAGTGTCTATTACCCTGACTATACTATCTCGGATGACAACTATATTTCTCTTTTCTCTCCTCCTCTTGAATGGCTCCCCGTACCACAGCGCGATGTTCCGTTTGCTCATCCTCCCTACAGTCACTTTTATCCACACAGGGAGCAAGAATCTCAAACCTATTAGACAAGCTTAAGGGCTGAGGCTCCTTCAGCACCACCTCCTGGATCCCCCTATCTGCCTCACTCATAGTCATGCTCTCCTGTCCCTGACCACTAACCGAATCTGATGGAGCTAATTTAAGGGGTGTGACTGCCTCCTGAAACTCTTCCCCTTCGTGTGTAACATTGCTTGAAGCTCAGATTCTAGTTCGTCAAATTTGATCCAGAGTTCCTCAAGCAACCAACACTTACTACATATATGGCCATTCTGAATCACAATGGGATCCAACTTTCTGGATGTGATCTCTCCTTTCTGACTGTGCACAGCTTACTGAAGTCTTCTTGTGTTTTGGCATTGTCGTCCATTAATTACATCCAGCAACACAACATTATCCAAAAATATTCAGATTGCTGTTTTGAATTGAGTCCAAATAATTTATGTGAAGAGTGAAAAACAATGCTTCTAGGATCAAATTAATGCTCCTCATAATCTTGTCTCTTCCCTTTTGCTGTATGCAGCTCACTACACTCTATGAGCTGCTGTTCATGATGAGGAGCGCCACTGCCATCTTGTAAGTGTAGGAAAAGTGTAGGCTTTGTTTAGTCTGGTGCTGTACAGGAAAATTTTCATTATGTTGAACACACAGCATAGGAATATTGCATTTAGTGGGAGTTGGGCATTTGGTTCTTAGAGACAGCTCACTCAAAAACAGCAAGACTTATCTGGTTGTGTTCTCAGAGCCCCTTTCCTGTTTTCTCCTAGAAAGTCAGTTCCAATCTGTGCCAGGGACATAATTTTGCTACTTGATAGCATTAAATACATTCTTCTGAATTTGAAGTATTTGGAATTCTTTAGTCAATAGACGTAGATGCATATTTGGATATATTTACGGCTGAGAGAGACAGATTTTCAGCTTCAATAAATCAAAGGATATGAGGAGTGGACAGACAACTGGAGTTAAAGCCAATGAACAACTAGCATTGGTTTAAACAGCAGAGCAGACTCAATGGGCTGTGTAGCCCATTGATGCTATTTTGTATATTCTTAACATTGCTTATGCTGAGCATCCATCTATGATTGAGTACCAAAACAAATAACCTATCCTTCTGCTTCTCTTTCCTTTATACTAATCCAAGCACCTGGAAGTCCAACAGCATGTTTCTAAGAATTACTAAGGGACATATATCATGTTGATCACAATGCATTACTGAGATCCACATGATAGAAATGACAGTGCATTTGAACAATTCAGATTACAGCACAAAGTGACAGGATGTGTAAATATACCTAGGGTGGAGAATCAGTTTTTTGGTGCACTATACATTCAAGTCAGGGTTGAAATGCAGTAAATATGAGGAACAAAAATGAATAGACAACATTCTAATACTCAACTGCAGAAACTATTAATATAGATACTGTAACATTTGTAATGGCTCAGTAAAGGTCACACACACACACACACACACACACATAGGAACTGAGCTGCAAGGTCACAAAGGCCCAATCTACAATCTGTGCTGAGACAACCAACTCGAGTTAGGACATGTGGAATCTTGGTCAGAAGCAGATCTAGCTCACGTTAAGTTCCTGTTTGCATCATTTGCACTCACCGTCTAGACTTACACACGACTAAAAACCAACTGGGCATCATACTCGGACAATAACAAGAGGTCACAAAGGTGTCATGAGTCACCCCTTCAAGTGAAATATATGAACAGTGACTAAATTGGCAAGGAAGAAATACCTAAAAAATCTAATATATTCGGCATCTTGGTGAAGTGTAAAAATTTTATATCTGTTAAACTTTCATTCTTTTGGCTAAAATCCTTCCACAGCACAAACTCTTGTAAACAAAGTATCTACCTACCAGTTTCTTCCTCCGGTCTTGTTCAGTTGGGGGTTCTTCATCTTCACTTACTTTTTGCTCTTCAAAATGTGACATCACCATACAGCTATATTTAAACAAATATAAGTATTTAATATAATACAAGGTGACATTTTTCGATTGACTGAGGTTAGTTTCTGATGGTGTTTGTGGATGAGTCCCAAGTGGCAGAATGAAGGGAAAGCTGTATTGGACACCTTCCCATAATTATGGATGCTGGTCCATTGAAATGGAGTGATAACATTGAGAGTGGCAAAATCATTACATGTCTGTCAATATGGAACTACATAAATATGTGCATTCAACAGGAATCCAACAATCATTAAGACACACACATATCATGACCTTCAATTCTGAAGGGTCACTGGAGACCCAAAATGTTAATTCTGCTTTCTCTGCACAGATGCTGCCAGATCTGCTGAGTTTTTCCATTAATTTCTGTTTTTATTTCTGATTTCCAGCATCCAAAGTTCTTTGGTTTTACGATTTTTAGGAACATGGCCAAAGTTTTAAGTGAGGCCTTGTAGTTCCTGTTAAGAACGTGCCTCATCATTAATAAAAAACTTCATTGCCCTGGGCACGGATCTTGTGTTGCAACTTATTTAACTTAAAAAAATGAAACGACGCTGGGATTCACACCTGAGCATCCTTAATTTCTGTGCAAAGCAATTAAGCATTTTACCTTCTTTAAAGCAGCACTTTGATTCACAATCAGAAAGTTGTGGCCATGTTCCCGAAAGTCGTGACTTTAAGCAAAACTACTTTAAATGAAGCATGGTTTCCCATTGGAATTGATATTAAAGTCACAATTACACTACTTGAGACTTTTGTCACCTGGAAAACAGAGTGTAAAATTTGAAATATTGCTTTGTACATGTGTAATATTACATCCTTTGCAGAAAGAAACTTCAAAAAATTGTGTCATTGACAATAAAAGAAATACAGCACAAAATGAATAACTATTCACCTTTAATGTACAGTACCACTAAAATGACCCGAACCCCTCTAGTGGCAAAGGTACATTGGTGCAGCTCGATGCCCAGGACTACCTGACGTGGAGGTGCCGGTGTCGGACTGGGGTGGACAAAGTCACACGACACCAGGTTACAGTCCAACAGGTTTATATGAAAACACAAGCTTTCGGAGCCTCAGTCCTTCTTCAGGTGTTAGTGAGAGAGGTAGTATCAGACACAGAATTTATAAGTAAAAGATCAAAGGTGCACACCATTGATGAGTATGTACTAAACAAGCCTAAGATGCTGTTAAATCTTGATTCAGTTAGAAGGTTTTCGTTGATTAATATGTATATATAAATCCTCAAATTCATTTCAGGTCATGGTCCTGAGAGAACTGAAGGTTTTATCAGTGTAAAGAAGAGGTGACATTTTAGGTCAGACAATGCATATTAGGTGTGAGGTCTTGTTTACAATCTGTGTGTTAGTTTGGAGTCAGACTGGGTTTATTTCTAAGGTAGGAATTTATAAAACACCATATTGACTGACTGTCTATAAATTGTGTGCTTTCTGAACAAAATAAAATGTATCTACAATTATAAATTCACCCTGGAGATTCATATGTGTCTGTGTGTGAGAGAGACAGAGACAGAGTGAGTGAGAGTGAGAGTGAGAGTGAGAGTGAGAGTGAGAGTGAGAGTG